CCTTTGAACTCCTTAAAGTGAACCTAGAGTCGGTTGTGAACCCATCAGCGGGCCAACCTTTGAAAACGCCGATGGGTTCACAGCCGCTCTAGGGCACCCTTAGAGCGAGGGCTGGAAAGGGATGGGCCCACTAGCGTCTAGTACCCAGGCGCATGAGCACCGTCAGGCATCCTAGCCAATGTTTGAGTCTTGGTCGGTTCTCAGTCCATGGTTTTTCCTCAAAGAAAAGCAACGAGCCCTTGGGACCGGCCGAACGGACCCAAGAACTATATGGATTGGCCGCCAAGAGTCTAGAGTCGGTCACCAGCTGACCCATGCCGGACCCCCACGAACAGGAAGCTGGGGCCTTACTTAGACTACCCAGTTAATAGCTCACCAAGCACCATGTTTCGTCCATCGAGGAAAAACATGGCATGGCTCAGCCCCTCCATTTTATCGAAAAAAATGCTTGAGGGATGACGATCACAAAGATGAGCCAACCCATGACCGGACCCCTGCTACGTGTGGGGCTCGAGGGAAGTTGGACTCATAAGGAGACCGAATGCGCAGTCGTAGTATGACGGCAGAACCGATTGATCCTAGGGGACCGGACTCAAGAAAAATCTTTTCGACCTCCCGAATCCTATGGTTACATGCCCCCAAGAAGACCGATCACGACAAAAGGGAATAGTCATCCTACTAGGACACGCCGTAGGCTACAAAAAGAAGGCCAAGGCCCTTAGAGTCCTCCCATTCGAAAAAGCCTCCAAAGGCTCGGGGGCTACTGTCGGGTATTGATATTAGGGATACCCAAAGCAAGGGAGTTAGCATCCACGCTGACTTCCTCGGATGGCTCGAGACATATTAAAATGTCTCGCCTGGCCTCAAGGTTGTGGGCTATGTCTCCCCCGACCTCAAGGCCGTGGGCTCTATCTCGCCCGATGCCTTGGGTGCGGGCTCCATCTCGCCTGACCCCAAGGATGCGGGCTTCATCTCACCCAACCTCAAGGCCGCAGGTTTCATCTTGCCCGACACCAAGGACGCGGGTTCCATCTCACCTAAGGCCGTGAGCTCTGTCTCACCCGACCTCGAGGCCACAGGCTCGGTCTTGCCCGACCTCGAGGCCTCGGGCTCTGTCTCGCTCGACCCCTTGGGTGCGATTTCCATCTTGCCCAACCCTAAGGATGTGGTTTCCCTTCTCGCCTAAGGTCATGGGCTCCATCTCGCCCAACCTCGAGGACGCGGGTTCCGTCTCATCCGATAGGGACCCATACCGCCGCCAACCACTCTAGGTCCAAGCATATGGGCTTGGGTCAAAACTCTGATGTCAGGGAAGAGGTTGGCACGCCTCGATGTAACATGTGGCCATGACGGGCCATACCTGGGGATTCACATCAAGAACAGTGTCGGGTGGGCCGGTGTTGTTCTGCCTAATCCTCGTACGGACGCTGGCAGGCGCGTCAGTTCACCACGACGTTCGTCGGGACGGAGTGGAACGCCATGACTGGCATATGACGCCTACGCATGGTGCCAGTGATAAACAGGGCTACAACATGGAGCCATCCCTGTTAACATCTACAGGATCAACGAGACCCACATGAAAGAGAAGAAGGACCCGGCAACCCTAGAAGCCTTCTTCTCTATCTCGTTCTTCTTATTTTCCTCTCTGTAACCCTCGCTTTCCCTTCGCCTATAAAAGGGGAAGCAGGGTGCCCCATGAAAGGGGGATCTGAACAGAAGAGCATGACATGAGCACATGGCTGAGCGACAAGCGAGCTCTCAGCACCCGTTCACTCCTTCCACTAGAGACTTGGGATCCTCTCCTCTCTCTCTATTTGTAACCCCTACTGCAAACCAAGTGCCGGTAACATGAGAAGCAGCGAACTAGACGTAGGGACGTTCCGCTCGAACCAGTATAAACCCTTGTGTCCTCCGAGCACACCATCCGAGCCAGACGCGTGCAAATACAAATTGACTCATCGGTGGTAAAAAACACCGACACTACTGGAGGTCCAACATGACCATATGTGTTTGATGCCACCTATCGGCCACCAGTCACATTGGTGTTCACGCGACGGCAGCAACCTCCCATGCCTCCACCGGCTCCCGTGGTTTTACCAGTGTCTACGGCACCGCCGGCTCCCATGCCAGTGCCCATGGCACCACCGGCGCCACCGCCAGCACCATCTGGCTCGACTGTCATCCCAGCTGCCCTGCGCTCCTCCAAAGTGCCAATTGTGCTGGTACCTCCCACCATCAACCAGCATGCTATGCAAACTAGGGGCAAGTCAGGCATAAGTCAACCGCGACAACACTTCAATTTTTCCGTGGATTCCACAGATATCAGCTAACTTCCAAAAACATATTGTGGTGCTCTCTCCGATCCGAATTGGAAGCATGCCATGGAGGAGGAATATGGTGCTCTCATTGCTAATCAAACATGGGACCTTGTGCCGCCACCTCCACATGCTAATATTGTTTCAGGCAAATGGCTCTATCGTCACAAGCATAATGTTGTGGCTCTTTGGTTCAATACAAGGCTCGTTGGGTCGTGCGAGGATTTTCTCAACAACATGGTCTTGATTATGATGAAACCTTCAGTCCCATGGTTAAGCCTGCCACCATTTGCATGGTATTGTCGCTCGCCGTTTCTAGTGATTGGCTTATTCATCAATTGGACGTCAAAATGCATTCATGCATGTCACTCTAAATGAAACTGTTATTGCCAACAACCTCCTGGGTTTGTTGATCTAGTTTGTCCTAATTATGTGTGTAACTCAACAAAGCTCTCTATGGCTTCAAATAGGCCCCGCGAGCTTGGTACAACTGGTTCCAGGCGTTCATCACCTCGATTGGTTTTCGGGCTTCTCAATGTGACAACTCGCTTTTCATCTACACTCATGGGATGGATGTGGCATATCTTCTGTTATATGTGGATGACATCATATTGACGGCTTCATCCCAATGCGTTTTCCAACATATTATTGGCTCCCTGTAGCAAGAATTTGCTATGACTGATCTTGGTGATCTTCATTACTTCTTGGGCATTTCTACACAGCGATCATCCACAGGTCTGTTCGTCTCTCAAGCCAAATATTCTGCTGAAATATTGGACAAGGCAAATATGTCGTCATGCAATCCTTGCCAAACTCCACTTGAGGTTCATTCCAAGTTGTCCGCCCAAGATGGACCACTGGTTGCTGATCCTACTCTATATCGCAGTCTTGCTGGTGCTTTACAACACTTAACACTCACAACACCGGATATTGCTCATTCCTGCTTATATATGCATGATCCCTGTGAGTCTCATTTTGCTCTCATCAAACACATTATGCGGTATATCAAAGGCACCATGGAGTATGGTCTTACTCTCTCTCGCAGCCGGTCACATGATTTGATCGTCTACTCGGATGCCGATTGGGCAGGCTGCCCGGACACCCGCCGCTCTACTTCTGGTATTGTGTGTTTCTTGGCGATAATCTTATATCGTGGTCGTCCAAGCGCCAACACATTGCCTCACAGTCCAACGCCGAGGCCAAATACAGGGGTGTTGCTAATGTCATGGTTGAGGCTTGTTGGATTCATCAACTCTTGGGCAAGCTTCGTAGCCCCTTAACACGTGCTACTCTTGTATATTGTGACAACATCGGTGTCGTATATTTGTCAACAAATCCAATTCATCACCAAAGGACCAAACACGTGGAAATCGATCTCCATTTTGTTTGGGAGCGTGTGGCCCTTGGAGCTGTGCGAGTTCTTCATGTTCCTACATCTCTTTAGTATGCCGACATTTTTACTAAGGGCTTGCCAACTGCTGTCTTCATCAACTTCCGATCCAGCCTCAATGTTCGCTCCTCTCCCGGTTGAGACTGCGGGAGGGTATTAGAATGTGTATAGTCTAGAATGAAGAGTCTTAGTAGTTGAAGAGTCATGTAACTCCTTTTATAAACACTTTATCAATCAATGGAACAGTAGGGATTATTCGTCCTTCAGGAACGACCATCGTTAGCTGGCGCACTCTTTTTTGGCAGCACAGACGAAGTTGAACTAGAACTAGTGGAGATGGAGAATCTCTTCTTCCTCCAACTAGCAGCAGCAGCAGCTCTTGGTGACGAGGGCATGAACAACTTGATGATGAAGCCGCCTGCTCTCTCTCCATACAAGGAGTTTTGGTGTTGGGATCGGCCTGTTGATCATATCGCTTTTGCCTCTGTGCCATCCGTCCACAGCTTGGAGTAGCAGTTGTTGGTGATCTTGGATTGCTGGATCCATGATTCGTAGTCGAAGTCGTCGAGAGCGTCGTCATGGGTTTCTGTCTTTCTGATGAAGGTGAAGGGCTGCTGCTCCCAAGGAGGGGGAGGAGGAGGAGAGGCAGAGGAAGCCACAATGAAATGTTTTGGGTGACTGCTTGCCAACTTTACTAGCTCGATGCAATGGTTGCTTTATTTATAGTGATGATGGATGATTGATTTTAATTGGTTGGTTGATGAGAATTAAGTTGAAGAGTCGTCTTGTGATGAAATGAGGATGCCGATTAATTGCCAAGTGAGACCAGTCCGCCTATACTTTGATAACAATGGAATCAACTTAAGCAACGTCCTGCTGCTTGCTAATGGCTGCTCAATTTGTCAGCCATGTACGGCATGGCACTACACCTGCATGCGAGCTGCTGCTTCCTCCAAAGCAAGCAAGTCAGCAAACAGAAGAAACCAATCACAGTGAAATTGCAGAAAGCACATAAAATTGTCACCAAGTCAAACAACTCTAGTCAAGAGAAGGCACCATCATATCCCCCATATCACTCATTACTTAGTAGTACCAATTAAGTCTACTCCAGAAGCTACAAATAAAGTAGCAACTTAAGCCCCTTTGGCACGACTCATCCAAAACGGCTTCACCGGTTGAGTCTACTAGTTCATTTTAACCCGGCTTACAGAGTGCCTCGAGCTTTGCTAAAATAGATGAAGCGAAAGCATAAGCTAAAGAGGCCCTTAATATGTTTCTTAAACATGTCATAATTATTAGTATCCAATAAGCGACCAATAGATAGTAACACCCAATGTGCAGAAGCCAAGGCGCAGAGTGCCAACGCTCACACCATCTTTCTGAGGCTTGAAAAGCATTCGTCTACCAGCAACAATGTGATCACCTTGCAATGCCTTCGCACAAACCTTGAGCAGCTCCACAAGACGTACAACAGATACAACAGAACGTGAAAGCTTGATATTTCTTCCATGACCAACAACAGACACTTTATCGTCGCCAGAATCAAGCAAGATGACTTTCGCACAACTTATGCTGGTGGTACTAGCAGTAAACTTTAAACGGAAACCACTTGGCCATTCCCCACTGGTGATTCGCAAAGCAATTGTTGCCTCGACCGAAAAAGACATAGAGTCAAGTGCAAACTCCAGTGTGCTAAGCCTGCTATGGTACTCCCTTGTAAGGTGGCGTGAGTGAACGCCCTCATAGTTGATGTAGGTTATGGCTAGAAAACTCAAGCATCGATCATTCGATTCAGTAGCGCCCTTAACTTTCAGATCAACCTCAAAGGTCGGAGGGTCGGAAAACTCAACAGCACGCGAAGGACCCGTCAGTTTCAAATAAGGAACCTACATGCAGCAGCACCATTAAACAAATACTAAGTAAACTGAAGTGAAACAAGAGGTTATCAGCGTATAATAATAAACAGTATAGAACAACAAAAAACCAGCATTATCAACACAAAGTGCACAACAGAAAAAACTACATAAAATTATTTGTTCCATGCATTATTGACAAACAAAAAGACAGCATAATTTTCTGTGTGCATATAATCATGCATGTACCGTTCATGAGCTGTACATTTAGGAAATTTGATTTCTAGCAAACAAGGTTCAAACATTTTCAAGATAGAACTCAGAAATTAGTGCCAGAAACTATGAGCCACATTTAAAAATTAGACTCAGACATGCCACATTAGTTTACAACAGTAGGAGGGATGGAGGGGAGTGAGCAAGGGTCAAGTACAAGTTTGTAGGGGAACTTCCTAGCTAGGGCTTGCCATATAGCTGACACAACGTGCATGTGCTCCCTATATTATGGAACTCCAAATGTGTTGAGAGATTAAGTGTGCCAGTTTGATTAGTAAGTAGTTATTTGCTTCTCTTATTATTACCAAACCCACAAACATATAACCGGCCAAGAGATTGCAGATAGAGAAATTCACAGTGTGTACTACGCAATAAGTTCTAAAAAATAAATGGATTGCCACGTATAACATGCTCCATCGTCTTCATGTAAAATAAGCTGGCCCTTGACGAAACTAATTGGATTAATAGGGTAGTTCAGTGTAGGGGAACCACAGACATAGAAACATCCCGGAGGCACACACGCCGTTGTGGTAACAGACAACACTTTGGGCAGACAGGAAAGTTGGTGGGGAAAATCATTGCTTCATGCATCAAGCAGCAAAGCAAGAAGCAAGCAATCATGACACTTATGGCTAGTAATAAGAAATAATACAAACCTCTTGTGTAAGAATTTGGCAGTTATCTCTCGAGCGATCAAAGATCATATTGCGATTTTGATCAACTGAGTCTCGTATGGCAACCATCCCAAACACATGGAGGGGCCACTGTAAGCCACCCCTTATCCATGCGACTTTGAGTGAAAAGATCTGCAGCGTAGTCGGTAGGCCAGCAGCATCCCGCCATTTAGGCTTCTTGAACGTGAAACGCTTGTTAGGGATCTTTGCTGCAAGTGGATTTAATAAAACAAGGGTTAAGAAGCAGCGGCAATACTTAGCAACACATAAATATGGCATCTCAGCTATTTATTATTGGTCAGGCAAGCTCTGATAGATCCTAGCACATATACAGGGAATGCATCTCAGTTGTGTGTGTCTGTGTGTGCGTGTGTTGTCAAACAAGTTCTGATAGATACTAGGTAGCACATATACAGGGAATGACTGGATCCTTCACACAAACTTGAAATGTATCCAGAAGCAAGCAAGGAATTCCTTGCCAACTGCAAACTGAGTCGAGGGATGGAACCAAAAGCATCCATATTTCTTGCTAAGCTTGCTGGGCAAGAGCACCTAGCTAGGCAAAGGGACGAAAATACATATCAGTCCCCAGTCAGTAAGACTATGGGCCTGTTCGGATCCACATGGCTAGTTACTAGTGGGGGCAAAGAATTGGCCCAAATTAGCTGTGGTTAACTAGCTAGTTGGCTAACAACTAATTGAATACATAGCTAAAAATTAGTCCACCTATTAGCCCTCTTGTTTGGATGCACTAGAGCTAATTCTGGCTAATTTTTGTCTAGCTCGCAATTAGCTCTTGTATGCAAACAGGTCCTATGTGTTATTAAACTATTCGAGGCGATACCGGCTTTCAAATTAAGGACAGGTTCCAATTTACAAATTAAAGATAGGTTTCAATTTGCAAATTAAAGACAGGTTTCCATGTATCTGATCTGATCGGAGAGAGAGAATAACTCACTGGTGTCTTCGAAGCAGCCGTAGACGCCGGAAAATAGCCTGTTCCAGGTATCCCTAAACTCTCTAGCGTCGGCTTCGTTGTCATCAGCCTCGGCGAGGTAGTAGTCATCTACATCTTCCTCTTCTTCTGCCCGCGCCGCCTTTTCCGCCGCGTGAAGCGCCACCATCTCATCCTTCGCTTCCGCCCCCAAACGCGCCATCCCATCCTCTTTCGGCGAAGGAGTAGGCCCACCGTTGGCGGCGACGACCGCTTGGATGGAGGGCGTCTCGATACCCATCGCCGACGCCAATCGAATTCCTCGCCCCGCGGATCGATTGAATTCCTCGCCGGCGCCGACTTCTCTTGCGGGCGTAGGAAACCTAGGTCGGGTGGTCGATGCGTGTGGGTGTGTTTCGTAGGGGGTCTGACACTCGAGTGTTGAAGGCCAACCCAACCGGACACACGATTTGGATAAAAAAGAGAATCTAGTGATTTTAATCCGACCAACACTCGATAGGTATCACCATTGGATCCGGATCAGATGGACCAAAAAGAATTATCCAAATAATACAAAAAATATTAAACAAACAAAACAAAAAATATTAGCTAGATTATTTCTATAAAAGACAAATTAGAAAATTTCAAAAAAAAAACAAATAACACACACAGAAAATCAAAAGCCAAAAAATTTGATCAAAACTTACACCAATTAAACACAAAACTTACACCTAGATAGAAATAGTAAAATATGGTCTAATAAGATAATCTACTCTTAGGCCTTGTTTAAATCCAGGGTGTAAAGTTATATAGTGTCACGTTGATATCACGTAGGGTGTTCGGATATTAATAAAAAAAACGAATCCATTCGTAATCCCCATCGCCGACGCACCAAGTTTTCAAATTATGGATTAATTAGGCTTCGCCCCGCGGATCGATTATAAATTTACAATTAATTATTTTTTAGTCCATATTTAATACTCCATATCCGGCGCTGAACGAGGGCTTACTAAAGAAATAAACCTTTGCGTGCGCGATATGGTCAACAACTTCTAAACTTTGCGTGTCTCATCGGATGTTTTTATATATACGAAACTAATTACAGAGTTTGTGGTGCTACGAGGCGAATCTTTTAAACCTAATTAGTCCATGATTTAACAATATAGTGCTGCAGTAAACATGTACTAATAATGGATTAATTAGGCTTAATAAATTCGTCTTGTGGATTCTTTAATTCTGTAATTTGTTTTTGCGAACACCAGGATTCTTAAGCAGGCCCAGGCCCAGTCCCAGGCCCAGCTCGACCTGTTTTCTCCGCCTCCCATTATATTTAAAGATGCAACAGGGTAGGCCTTTTCCCCCTCTGAAACAAACAAATAGAGTCCAAGCATCGGGCAAAAACATAATATTTGCATTCAGATCTTGGTTTTATAAGAGCAATTATTGTATTTAGAATAATTTTATATTGACCATATATGTTTGTATGGAGCATGTGTCTTCTTTGGCGGAGATGGTGAGGAACATGATTTTGGTCAAAAACAAGAAGTGTAAATGCATGACAACTCGAATAGTCGGATTTTTTCGGAGGCGGGTAAGCGAGGGAGGAACGCTCAGCTATACCCGTCGAGGATGGATTCTTACCCATTTAGAGTGTTGGATCCCACTCCACTAATGGATCAAAATGATTTTGCAAGACATTGTCCAAACATTAAACATGCGGCTCATCGCATCCGTTAACAGCACCTCATCCGACGGTCACAGAATCGAGTGAGCCGAGAAGAAAAAACACTCGAGTGACTGCTAGATTTACCTTTTTTTATGCATGTGGTGCTCGGCTTGCCCTTACATCCCACCGGCTGGCAGGCCAAGGGTCCTCGACCTTTTAAGAGTCATTAGGCAAACGAAACATTTGCGGGAGGCCTTTTGCTCCCCCTCTAATCTAAAACAAACAAATTGAGAAGCATTTGCTCAAAAAAAAAAAACAAATTGAGAAGCATGAAAAAAAAATATTTGCACTCATATTATTTTATAATGCATTATTGTTTTAGAATAATTTGTACTGACCATATATATGTCTGTATGCAGGGCACATGTGCTCCAAAACTAGAAGTGTAAATGGCACTGATATTTTCTAACGGACCACAGAATATTGGACACTACTAAAAAAATGATTTTACGAGAAACTACCCAAACATGAAAATAGAACTGTCTCTCCAATACTTTTATCCTAATACAACTCGGAATTTCTACATGTGCGATATATCGGTGAGGAGGGGAGCTTATGAAAATAGAACTGTCCTCCAATACTTTTATAAACATCAATCGAGAAGACAAAAGCCTTTAGTGAAGATAAGCCTTCGGTGAAAATAACGATGAAGTGGAAAAGTAGGCACAAGAACACAGACCTCACCAAAAGCAACATGCTCATGATTAAAATGAAATCGAGGCTATGAAATTATATATTATACCCATTAAACTTTGCAAAACCCGATAAATAAACCCTTCTGCTTAGATGGCGTTCCAAGTTAGGTAGCTTTGACACCGTGGCACCTTGGCCCGCATGTCAGCCCCGGTTCGCTGCGTCAACTCGCGTGGGCGCCTCTCTCGGCAACTGCCGCCATTTCAAGAGCGCGCGAACAGCGTGGTGCCCCCTGACCGCGCGCAGTCGTGCGGTGGCTGCAGACGAGCGCCTCGGCGACCCCGCGTTCGTCGAGAACCACGGCCGCCGCCTCCTCCACAGCCGCTGCCGCCAGTTCCCTTCCCCTACCTCGCCTTCTCCCTTGCTCAGTGCGTGCCCCCGGGACGCGAGGGCGTAGCAGCGTTGCCCCACCGAGGCGCGACCACCGTCTGCCCAACTGCGCCACGACGGGAGGCCTCGCGCAGAGGATTCGGATAGGACGGAGGGGAACGGGGAGAGGAAGGAGGACGAAAGAGTCCGTTGCGGCGGGAGACGAGGTCGGCGAGTGGGACGGCGCGGGAGTAGAAGGCGCGGCCGATGCTGCTGCTTGCTGGTGTGGTGATGCGGATGGTCTTGTTGTAGAAGGCGTGCCCCCGGAAGGCAATCCTGGGCTGCGGCGTGTCTGAGGGCGAGGTGAAGTTGTATGTGAAGGAGAAGGGAGCAGCTGGGTGGCAGAAGCAGCAGCATGAGGATCGGCAGGGTAGCGATAGCGACAACGGTGTCTCTGGAGATCCCCATGACTTCAGTTTAGCCGCGGAGGATGATGGAGCAAACGGGGACTGTTCACGGGGGTGTTGTTGACCTGCAATGAGTTGTCCATGTCGTCTCGTGAGGCGTGAGCTGGGATTGGCTGGGCCGCGCCGGCCAGCCCTGCCTTTACATGGACGCCGGCCTCGCTGCCGCGGTCACCGCGCTCCAGACCTGCGCGGACGTCGTGCAACTCACACACGTGCTGCCGCAGTTACGCCTCCCCCGAGTCTCCTCTCGCCGGGAGAGAACCCGGGACACCCTCGCCAAGCCCAAGTGGCGCACGAAGCCCTCCGTCAACGAGCCCTCTCCGTGACGAGGAACCTGGTCAAGGGGTGCGCGGGCGCGCGGCGGTCCAGAGCGGCGGCCAGGCGAGGGGCGCTCGAGCGCGACGCCTGGTAAGAGTGCGCAGGTTGTGACTGGACGCGTGGCGGCGTGAGTGCTGGTGCGCGGCCGTCCCCCGTGCCGTGCGAGCGCGGCGTGCTTGCCCCTCCGGCCCAGGCGGGCAAGGCGGCTGCCTCCTAGCTCGGGTGGGGTGGGAACAGCAGCGTGCTCGAGCGACCTGATGATGGTCGGGCACAGGCGCCAGTGTGTCCATGTCATGGCGGCCATCTAGAGGCCTGTTCGGTTGGCTGGTTCGTATCATTACTGGTTCGTGAAGAAGTACCGCTGGCTGGTTTGTGTAAGAAAAAATATTGTTCCAGCTGAAAATTTACGATTATTTACGACAAGCCACAGCCAAACGAATAGCCTCAGGTAGAAAAAAAAAACTGCCCTGCAAAACCAGCGTGCTGCTGCTGCTGCACGCGGAGGAGTGGAGCGCGGCACGACTCTGGATGGCTGCGCGGATGGCGAGACGTGCGCGGCGAGGTGATCGAGCTGCGTGGGCCGTGGGCGCGACAGCAGAACGAGCGTGCCGCGTGGCCACTGCCCAGCACGCTCTGCTGCAAGCGTCGCCACCACCATCTCTGCTGCAAACGTGGCATTCTCTGTCCGCCAAGAACGCACAGGTACAGGCCATCCATAACGAAAATCGACGGGTCGCCGACGACCGACCGCCGGGGCTGACTGAGTTCGTGGCTCGCGTCGGCGGGCGCGGCCACGTCCTGGTCCTCCTCTCCTTCAGTCCTTCTCCGCCACCTCCGCGACGCAGCAGACGCCGTCCTATGCGCGCGCCGCGCCCGATAACGCCCATTGCCGCCGTCCTCGGGGTACTTCTGCAGTTGGCGTGCTGCGGCTCCACCTCCACAGCGGGCAGCGGCACACTCGGTCCATGTCATCGATCCTGTTTTTGGCACTTAAAAAATTGGCAGGGTGTCAATTAACTAAAGCATAATCAGCCTATACGCTTGTTGGTTTCAATCAGGGTTTATTAGTCAGCCAACGATATTTTTCTCTCATAACAAATCAGCACCAGCCAGCCCAAATTAGCCAAAAAATCAACTAGCGAATAGGCTGAATATATGGGAACTAGGTGCTAAACTGCTAATTTAGTGAAGGATGATGGATCTTGGAAGGATGCTAAATCCTGAAATTCCCCGCACGGGGGCGGGCGATCGTGTGGTGGTGGTGGACGGCGGCGGCGTGATATACGCCGAGTGCTTGGCACGGAGCCACCTGCCGACGATGCATCTGCATACGAATCATTCATTAATGGGCTAAAAATCACTACCTTAGCCTATATATATTTTCTTTCTAACCCGTATTAGCCCATTTGGTGTCTTTTTAGTTATTTGATTGGTTTGTAACAGACATGCAAAAGAATTAAAATTGTTGATTTCATCGCACCATGAATGGTTTTCAAAATTTTATCCAAATTATTAAATTTTGATTGCATCAGCTCGTTTCTTACATTGAATACCCGACATGAATATATTTATATAAAAATTTCATTAACGAATATTTCTCTCATGAAGATAGAACATTTTCTTTGTCCAAGATAAAATGTTATGTCTTTCTAAGACAAATGTTCTAAGTTCAGCAGAACAATATTTTAGATATAAGATAAAAGAATTATATATTCATATGTATTACAATATCCATTAAATAAAAAATGAATAATAAAAGCTATTAAATATTTATATAAATAGATAAAT